GACTCGTGCTGAACTGTCTCTAACTTCCTGCCCAGTTCATTCGGGTCAGGAACATGCACTGTAGGCAGAAACAAAGCAAAGCACAGAGATCAAACCTGTGGCTTTGAAAGCACCTCATATTGCTACCTCACTGAGTTACGAGTGGTAAGCAGTGTCACTGGACACAGTTTTTCCACTGAACCCCAGGAACATCACGTAAATCACCCCTCAAATGTAAGGGTTCCCAAAGTGGTCACCATGACTTCCAGGGTACCTAAGACTAGAGAGTGGTGCGTCATCACCTCTCAGGGCTAAACCTCTACCAACGGTCAGCAGCATGCCACGCTCACAACCAAGGCACAACACCGAAACCACGACCCTGTCTGCCACAAACGCTGCCACGTAAGGCTCCCTGCCACGTAAGGCTCCCTGCCACCTGGGCCTTTCCTCCTACTGCTAACCTCCCACTTCACTTTGCTAATCTACTTCTACCATGTACTTCAAGTCTGAACTCAGAAAATAAAGAGGAAAAGTACATTTTTAAGAGGTAACCATCTGAAAAAGAGCAGAAACAGTTGAAAGATGAATGCCAGTGCTTAACAATCTTTATGTTCCTGAGAGATTTTAAGTACCTCACAGTATAAATATAACTATTGAGCAGCAATTCTGCAGGAAACACTATCTAGGGGTAGATTACAAATAAGATCTAATCCCTGCCCTAGAGTAGCTTCCTTTCCAAGGCAGCGGGGGGACATCCAGGTATCAGTAAGAGTGAAGGGTGAGGGGGTTTCCAGCGAAGGCTTGCTGAGGGATCCCTCGTTCTGAGTCCTGAGGACGGCTGGGAGCACAAGGGGTGGGGAGGCGTGCAAAGCAGTGAGCAGCTTGTAAAAGGCCTGGGGCCAAATCAAAAGTTCTGGGGGCTTTATAAGAAAGCTGTACTTCCAGGATGACAGGGTTAAATCAAGCCTTGAGTTTTTGCTCCAGGCTGACCAGCCTTGCTCCTCTGCTCAGTACATTCTGCACAGCACACATCCTGGAGACCAGAAGACACACAGGAAGCAGGCCTGTCTTTCAAGTCCAGTCTGGGGGAAAAAAGGTTCCATATTTCCAATTGAGCTGTCCAAAAGAGAGGATGTGATGTTTAGCCCCGAGGGTAGATGGTGACCATAGTTTTAATAGGTTAAATGCCCGGTGTGCTTCAGGAAGAAAGTCCTCTGCACCGTCTAAAACATGAATGTGTGTGAACACCTAAATGACTCCTAATGAAGCTTCAGGCGTGGGCAGCGAAAGGAATACTGGCTGGTGAGTCCTCTCCAGACCCTCCAAGTTTGTGACTCGGAGCATTCCGATGGAACTAGTTGATGGGATTAAAATGCCATTTGTGGATTTTGTAATATGTTTTGTTGTGATTTTTAATATTTGTCAGATGGGCCTTTTTTCCTGCGGGACTCCTATAACTAGTCACTGTAATTCTGCACTAATGCCCATTGATTTTTCCATGGCTCTAGAATATTAGTAACACTAGCAAATCTCGGAGTAGGTTATGTTACATCACAGCTAAGACTTAACACTTGGCCAAAATCTGAAATTCACAAGATGAATTACATACTTAAGTAAAAGCCGTTATGTACAATACTTAAGAGCAATCAAATTTTCCATTACAAATACTGTTGTTTTAACTCCCTCTTACTTTAAAAAAAAAGTGCCTTGAGGGGGCTTTGAATTTCTGAGCCTTCCAGATCAAAGATTTCTTCAGCTGTCTGAATTATAGGAATGCTGAAAAACAAAAACAAATTCTTTTCCTACTATAAAGTCCTTGCCATGTTTTTGTCTTTATGTAACTCAAAACGGCTGAACTGAAAAACGAGGCTGGTGAGTTCTGTTCAAAACCTAAGAATTCCTCAGAAATGGAGTACACAATAGTTTTGAAAGTATCATTCTAATTCATCTAACACAAGAATAAATTTTACTAAATTCTTATTCCATAATCCAGAAAATGGCTAGGTAACATTTTGAGTAAAATAATTTATGGCTAAGGATACCGAAATGTCTAAAATGGCTTGTTAAAGTGATTCAAGACTAGACTGTAACACCTTGGGCACGGTGGCGGGGGCGGCCTGCTTTCTCTCGGGTTCCACACACGCTCTTCATTTCATACCTTTTCTTCTAGCAGCATGATTGGCAAAGTAGCGCATGGCTTTTTTCAAAAGCTTTTGCAGAGAGCATAGATTCTTTTTCTTGTAAAGCAATGGTTTGCAGTCATTATTTTGCTGGTGTTTTTGGAATAGAGGCTGACCTTCAGGGTACAAAAAATAAACTGCTTTTGTGTCATTAGCGTATTGGTCATCTGGTATACCAGCCTGACAATTTACTAGCTAGGCACCAGTGGTTTAGAATTTCAGCACTGGAAAAGGAACCACTTTCTGCTTTGTCCCTAGAGAGATGTTAGTATGCTCATATGAATGAAAATAAAACTAGATGGTAAATATGGCATCAAGCACACACCCTGTGTACAGTGGATAGCAATGGCTCATTGATCTCTGACATTCGAGGTTTAAGACACTTTCTATATCTAAGACGTCATCTGTTTCCAATTACTTTGCATGTCACCTTATAATTTTTTTAGATGATTCAAATTTGTAATTATTAAAAAGAAATACACTCTAAAGAAAAATTGGAAGATTGGAAAAAATATATATATAAATATAAGTTTTTTCAACTCCCACCATTTTTATTTACTTTAGGTCAATTTACGTTTTGTTGTATTTGCTTTATGAGTATGTACAAAATAGAGATCATGCTGCATACAAAATTTCTACTTTAAAAAAATCAATTTTTCCATGTGACTCTTAAGTTCTGTAGCATCAGTCTTAATGAATGCATACTATTCTGTTATGGAATGTATGTTTTACAACCATTTGGGGACATTCAAGTTGCTTCCAGTATTTTGCTATCATAAATAATTGTGCAATTCACATCTTTCTACATAAAACTTTTTCAACATTGCTGTATTAGACAAAGACTTTAGGCTGCAAATCACAAAAAATAACTTGCCCTGACGTAATCCGTAAAGGAAATGTATTGGCTTGCATAGCTAGTAAACTGGGCGTGGAGGTTGGCTCGAGGCATTACTGGACTCGATGGTGGGTTCAGGCATCCGTCATTCTGTCTCCTGGACCAGCTTCCTTCTGTGCTGATTTGGTTCTCAGGCCTGCTCCTTGCAATCCTCCCAGAAGAACAACAGCAGCTTTTCTGCTGACACTTCGAGCAGAAGTCCCACGACTGAGTCTCGCTGCACAGCTGGGGTCAAACACCTCTCCCACGGTGAGGGGATGTTTGGGTCAGCCAACAGGACACCCCTGCTCCCTCCCCCACCTCAGTCCCCATCACCCTGGCACCGCACAGCTGGATTCTTCGCTGTTCCTTGAACCCACCATCCCACCTTTCACTCAGATCCCTGGTCTTGATGTCTCCTATGGCTTGCCTCCTACACTCTCCTCCCAATGTCCCCGCCGCTTGTTACCCCTTCACTTCCTCAGTCCACACACTCAGGGACTTTCCTGATGACCTCTTTACTCTCCATCCTCTCTCCCCACTCTGTTTCTCTTCAGAGACTTGTTACCACCTGATGCGCTGCCATATTCATGTGGGATATGAGTAAGGTGAATTATTTGCCTCCTTCCATGGGAACCGTGAGGGCTGACACTGCAGCTCTATCCAGCCCTCAGTAGATATTTATCGATTGAGTTAATGAATGAGTTTGCCAGGTCAGGTACCTACTCATCTGGAGGGTCAGCCTTCGCTAAGGATGATACGTGCCTGGAGGAATGGTGTGATTCCCCAAAGAGACTGGGTGGCCGTCCCCAGAACACAACCCGGACCAAAAACAATGACACTCAGTACAATTTCAGATCATTTTCTAAAGCAAGTGCCCAGGAATGGGACTTCAAAGGATATGAATGTTTTGAGTATTGGTATGCACTTTAGCTCCCTTTAAAACTTTCTTACCCTGCCCGGGTGGCTTAGTTGGTTGTGGCATCATCCTGTAGACCAAAATGTTGGGGGCTTGATTCCTGGTCAGAGCACACAGCTAGGTTGTGGGTTCAAGCCCCGGTTGGGGCGGCTGTGGGACGCAACCAATCAATGTTTCTCTTCCACATCAGTGTTTCCTTCCCTTTCTGTTCCCCCACACCTCAAAAATTAATGAATATATCCTCAGGTAAGGATTAAAAAAAACCTTTCTCAAACACAGACCACATCATGCCCCTCCCCAACTTAAAGCTGACGGCTCCCCACCGCACTGTGAATAAAAGAACTCTCCTGGCTCCCCTGACCCCTGAGGACCCGGTGTGCTGGCTTCCTCCCCTGCCCCAGAACCCAAGCCCCCTCACCCCACGCCCCTCACACTCCCCCCTCTCTGCCTGGCAGGCCCGCCCGGCACAGCTCATCTGACTGCCGCCTGCTGCTGCTTCTCAGACCTCAGTCCCAATGTCCCCTCGGAAGGCCCTCCTTGGCCACCGGGACCGTACTCCCCTCCTTGCTGCTCCAGTAAGCATGGATGTGTTCTAGTCATAGTACTCATCACTTTTCATTCACCCTGTTTACAGCATGAGGCCCTTTCTCACTGTCCATTCCTATGACCCCAACACTCAAAACTGGTACCTGGCACAGCAAAGGCCTTTAATATATTTGTGTTGGGAAAAGAAAACTAACAAATTGCTCTCCAAGGGGGCTGAAAGAATTAGTATTCCCATCAGCAGTCTCATTTCCTCTCATCTCACAACGATTTTTTAAAATATTTTGTCATTACAGTTGTCCCATTCCCCCCTTCATTCCCCTCCACTCTGCACACGCCTCCCCCACCATTCCCCCCTTTAGTTTATGACCATGTGTCTCAAGTTCTTTAGATTCTATATTTCCCCTACTATTCTTGCCCTCCCCCCTATCTATTTTCTACCTACCATCTATGCTACTTATTTTCTGTACCTTCTCCTTCTCCCACTCCCCTGTTGCTAACCCTCCATGTGATCTTCATTTCTATGGTTCCGCTCCTGATCTAGCTGTCCTCTTAGTTTGCTTTTGTTTTAGGTGTGGTTGTTAATAACTGTGAGTTTGCTGTCCTTTCATTGTTCATATTTTTAATCTTTTTCTTAGATAACATTGGGATTATCTAACATTTCATATAATAAGGGCTTGGTATTGATGAACTCCTTGAATTTGACCTTATCTGAGAAGCACTATATCTGCCCTTCCATTCTAAATGAAAGCTTTGCTGGATAGAGCAATCTTGGATGTAGGTCTTTAGATTTCATGACATGAAGTGATTTTCTTAGAAAGCAGCTCAAACGATGGGATTCTGTTGAAGCCTCACTGCACGAGAGCCAGAGGAGAAGCAGCGAGGCTGTCTTCTCGCAGAACAACACCCGCATCCGAGCAGAGGCGGGCACAGACGGCTGCAGCCGGGCATGTTACAGTAAGGGCCTGGCAGCGTTTTACTTTCTCATCCAATTTATGTTTCAAAGGTTCCTTTTTGTTGCAACTGAACTTAAGGGAACATTCTAAAAATGTTGCATTTAGTAAAAATTAGTGAAGAGGCAGCTCAAGTATTTGGGGTGTGGACGAGCATCCATCCATTCTGTGCATTCCCATCCCAAATTATCCAGCTGCGTTAGTACTTTGACTTACAGAATCCTCTCCAATATGTTCACTGTTAACAGGAGTGTGTATATTTTTGTATATTAATTTTTTAAAGAATTTCATATTTAAATAAAGTCTTGCCAAAAGAGTTGATCCATATAAAAGGTGTTTAATATAGAGAGCATCACAGCACCTGTCATCCGGTAAAGGTCCCCAGGACACAGATCAGATTATCCCAGTCAGGTCTCCCTTTACCCAGAGAGTTTGTTTAAATACAAAATAATCAAATTCTTGTTCCCATGTTTTTCTGACAAATCTTCAGCAAAACTTCACTTGGGGATCACAAGTAATTGAGGAAATGATGATTGTGGTCCTCAAAAGAAAATAGCTAATACAAAGTTTTCTGGTTGAAAAATAGCACCACTAAAGGAAGGGGCTCTGTCTTTTAAGTACAAAGTCCCTAAACAAGTCATTCACCAAAATTCATGCAGATTAAACGGTGGCAGAAACTCTCCTGTGTTCTGGAGTGGAAAATAGAAGCAAGTAAAAAGACAGTGCAAACAGTAACTTTGAAAAGTCAAAAGACACACGCACGCACACACACACACACACACACGTAGGGCGTTTTCCTTGTTTTCTGCCAGGTGCGTCACCAGTCAGGGACCTCAACCACAAAGGGCGTTTTCACGTCTATCTTGCCACTGTTGACGATGGAGCAGTCGGTGAGCGGACGGTCATGCCCATCAGTTGCCTGAAGTTCTATGGAGTGGACCACTGTCTAGTGAGAGAAAAGCAGACCCATGGTTCACTTCTGATCAGCAAGTATGGCAATCAAAAAATGAAGTCAACACCAAGTCTACAAGCCCAAGTAGGAAGTCAGTTGTGGTTTTTTGTTTGTTTGTTTGTTTCTTGTTTTTTTTAGTGTTTTTTTATGATTACAAAACCATGCAAGCTAATGATGGAAAACTTAGAAAATATTCCAGAAATTTATAAATAATAGCATAAAATTTACTACCTTGCTAATTAGACAATATGGTTATGTGTTTCCTTACTTGTTTTTAATTAGCTTTTTATTTTCTGAAAAAAATAAGATATTTTTGTAAATACCAACCTCTAATAAAGTACATTCCCACTCACTTGTTACAACCGAATGTAACAGTTAACATGCAGTTTGAGTCCATTTCACCTTCACCTGTGATAGGTCTGGGCGTCATAAAATGAGCCAGGAAGCAGATTTAGAGGTGGAGCTAGTTCTGGGTTGGCCATTTTACAACGGACCCAAGCCATTAATCTATAGGTTCAGTCTAACGCTAATGTCACCCCAACCCCACTGTGGAGTACAGGCCCCTTCTCTGCTGTGCAGGATTCCACAGCCTACAGGCCACCTCATGTCACATTGCGGGAGGGAGGACTGGCCAAGGACTGGAAAGTTGGCTTCTGGTGTTTCCCAAACAGGGTTGAGACTAAAGCAGCAACAGAGACTCTGAGTGGACCTGGTGTCAAATATTCCCACCTCCGGCTGACTTAGGTCCATTTCAGATAAAAGGCCAGCATTCTTATGTATTTCCAAGTAGGCTGCGTGTGTGCACATGTGTACTTAAAGCAGTGACCACACATCTGAATTACCTATAGTGATTTTTAATAAAGATTTTGTTAGCCCTGGCTGGTGTAGCTCAGTGGATTGAGTGCGGGCCTGGGAACCAAGCAACCACGGTTCGATTCCCAGTCAGGGCACATGCCTGGGTTGCAGGCCAGTTCTCTCCCTCTCTCCTTCCTTTCCCCTCTAAAGATAAATAAATAAAATCTTTAAAAAAAAAAAAAGATTTTGTTTTACTTTTAGAGATAGGGGAAGGCAGGGAGAAATAGAGGAAGAGAAACATCAATGTGTGGTTGCCTCTTGTATGCCCTCCACCGGGAACCTGGCCCACATCCCAGACATGTGCTCTGACTGGGAATCCAACCGGCGACCCTTTAGTTCACAGGCCAGCACTCAATCCACTAAGCCAAACTAGCCAGGGTTACCTGAGGAAAATTTTTTAAAAAATACTTAATTTAGGCCTGGCTGGTGTGGCTCAGTGGATTGAGCACCAGCCTACAAACCAAAGGGTCACTGGTTCGATTCCTAGTCAGAGTACATGCCTGGGTTGTGGGCCAGGTCCCCAGTAGGGGGTGTTCAAGAGGCAACCACACATTGATGTTTCTCTCCCTTTCTCCCACCCTTCCCTTCTGTCTTAAAATAAATAAATAACTTTAAAAAATTTAATGGTTAAAATGGAAATACCTGCTATGTTCATTTTGCCACAATTTAAAAGTGCTTATTTGTGGGCCCGCCTCTAGAGGTTCTGCTTCTGTCAATGTGAGGCAAGGTCCACAGATCGCCTGGGTTGCTTTGCGAACACAACCCAGATGACCAGGGGAGAATCAAGGGGTGGAATTCAGGACATTCTCTAGACTCCTTGAAACTGTATGAGAGGTACACACACTGTTTTTGTTCCTGGAAAGAAAGGCTATAGTTTTCACTCATTTCTCAAAGTTTACAACCTATAAAAGTCAAGGACAGGTCTTCTACAAGCAGATAGCAGGTCTCCCAGGATGTCCACCAGCGGATGGAAGGAGATTGTTGCTGCAATTTGGGCAATAAGACGTAAGATCTAGAGAAGTAGAAGAAAAACCACAAGCAGAACACCCAGAACTTGTGCTCTTCAGTTATCTTCCAGCTTAGGACAATGTTGCATTAAAAAAATACTCAGTGAATGGGTGAATGAATCAGTTTACATTTAAACTTTTTAGAACAATTATGGCTCATGAGAATATAGGCATGTCCTTTATTGTGATGGGATGTGAAGTGATGTATTGACGAGTGTTTTCCCTAATTCCCTTCTTATCCCACTTGCTAACGAGAACCCTGTCTTTGACGGCTCAGGTTGGGCATCTCCTTGCCGTGAAGGGAGATTCTGAGTCGGCCAGCTCACTTGCTGGCCTGTTGGGCAGAGTCAGAATGCAGGCGAAAGTTGTGGAAGAACTGCAGGGAGTGAGATTGGTTTGTTTACGTTCAGATGAGGGAGGCAGAACAGCTCACATGAAAACAAAATGAAACATGGAAGACGACAAGGATGGCCCTGGGTTGGGTTGGGCAGACCTTACAACTGCCAGTCCAAGCCTTGAGAGAGCTAAGAAGGGGTAATATTGAAAGTGGAAAAGAATGGGAATTTTAAGAGGAGTTCCTATGGACTATAAATTGAACACCTTTGATTTTTTTTTTTGAGACAAGGAGCATAAATTTGAATTCTTTGTAGTAATTTTAGTTGCTATACTGTGTCTTTAAAGGTGACATGTGTCTAGACTGAACCATATGGGGTGCTGGGTTTTTTGTATTTTCTCTTTAATTGTGGTGAGAAACATAAAATATTTACCACCTTATCCATTTCTAAAAGTACAGTTGGGTAATGTTAAATGTATTCACACTTTCGTGCAGCTAATCTCCAGGACTCTTCATCCTGCAAAACTGAAACTCTACACCACTGAACACTGACTCCCCACGTGCCCACCCTCAGAGCCCTGGCGACCACTGTTCTGCTGTATGTTCCTGTGTGTTTGACCTCTTTAGATACCTCATGTACGCGGAATCATACAGTCTTTTTATGACTGCCTTATTTCATTTAACATAACGTTCTCAAGTTTCATCCACGTCTTATCCTGTGACAGATTTCCTTCCTTTTTATGACTGAACAATATTCCATTGTTTGCACACACAGGGCCCTGGTTTTATCTAGTTACATTAAAAAGAGTTTCCATTCGTAACAAGTAGTGAGATAAATTAACTTGAGTACTCAACATCTCCATGTCAAGCCCTCAGCTTCTGCCCCGGTGCTCCTGACAATTAAAATGCCATGTCATTTATAATTTATTCACCTTTGAAGAGGCCAGTCAGCATATAATGATGGATTTCTACAAAGCCCATCTTAAGATCAAAATAAATCATTGGAAGTACTCATTATAACTATAAAGCTTTGAATGAGAAAAATAATACATCAAGTTACCATTCCATCGATGACTTTCCCAAATACCACGTGTTTGCCATCCAACCAGGTGGGCTTGGTCAAGGTGATAAAGAACTGAGAGCCATTGGTGTCGGGCCCGGCATTGGCCATGCTGACCCACCCAATGCCGTAATGCTTCAGTTTGAAGTTCTCATCTGGAAACGTCTCACCGTAAATGCTTATACCTGGTGAGGCAGAACAAGAAAGAGGAGCATCAGCAGATGGTATATGAAATTAAAGTCTTCGAAGGGAAACAAGGTTTTCGTAGAGTTGGTAAATAGAGCCTGAGAAGAGTGGGGAATGGGGAAAAGACGGTAGGACCTGAGGAGAAGTGAGGAAGGGCACAAAATTAACTCCGGAAGGAAGCGGGGCGCCAGGGACTGACCCCCACACACAGACAAAAAAGCCTTATATTTCACACAAGATGGCAGAATACCTTCTGGCCTCAAACCAAGGGCCAAACTCGGACCATGTAGACCCACGATTTCACTGCGAAGTGAGAAGGAACTGAAGGGCAGGGTGTCATTGAAAAGCCAGACTGAAAGGTGGGTGAGCCATCCTTGTAGCTCAGTCTCTGTCCTGAGGTTCAGGCCACATGTCCGGGGTCACTCCTACCTCAGCATCCAACCAGGGAACACCGAGCACTTAATATACACCCTCAGCCAGTTCTCAGAACAACCCTATAGAACAGATATTCTCAATCCTGTTTGCAGTGAGAAACGGAGGTTACAAAACTTGAAAACAGCAGAACAGAACTCGACCATCTGGCTTTCCTGCCTTAGCACTAAGGGCGAGAGCAGCCAGCCTGGAAGTCATTAGGCACTGATGATGACATCAGGGCCTGTCAAAATACAGAGGGTAATGGCAATCGGGAACACTCAGTGATCCAACCTTGAACAGAAGAACCGAAAGCAGGCATGTGGAGTTCTAGCAAAGCTGCAGGTGGAGCAGAACACTTTCCCCCCATAAAACAGCAGTAGAGACCACGAGAGGTATATGCTCCATCCTCCAACACCTTGAGTGCCTGTCACGCTCACCTCCACCCCTTCTGCAGGGCTCCTTGTCCATCCATTGCCAACTCTAAAATCCCAGCCCAGTCAGAAGGACAGAAGTGGATATCAAAGGCAAGCAATGTATAGTTAGCTGCTCGGTCAGTGACGTATGAGGTGCTCTGGCCCGAAAGCTCTCTGCCCACGGAGGGATCTAAGCTAAATTAAGTGATCCACAGGTCCTATCTCCAAAACTCAGAGAATTTTAACCCGGGACATGCTTGCACACATTGTATACATGCATTGTATACACACATGCACACACACTCAGGGCAGGGAAGGCACAGAGAGAGAGAGAAGTGGAAAAGGAGACCCAGCAAAGCACAGTCACAATTCCTGCTGGGCCCAAGGGCAGGAGAGTGGGAGGCCAGTCCTGAGGGGACCAGTCCTTGAACTGTAGGCCTCTCCAGGGCAACCCAGCTGTGCAGCAGCTGGGATCGCTTCCCTGCGCATCCTCACCAGCGCCATTCACCCGAGTCGCCCGTGCTGTGCTGCATCCCCACACCTTTGCAGCATTTCTGCAAGGGCTAAAAGTAATCTTCCTGCAGTGCCTGGCAAATCCAAGCATTCAATAACTTTCATTTCATTATAAATAGACCATTATAATAAACATAAAATTGGCAGTCGTACTGGAAAATAACCTAGATTTCTTTTAAAAGTTAGCAGTTTAATATTCACCAAAACTGGTATTTTCTAAATTAAAAATCTTAAACCTAAAAGTAATTTAAATCCTGTGTAGTTACATACACCACGTACATTCAGGAAAACAACTGATCGCATCTGAGGGAAAAGAGTCCAGGGAGCTGGGTGGGCAGAACCTCAATAAGAAACAATAAGCTCGGGGGGATTTGAAACTCTATAAATTCAAGTATCTGCACTTTATAGAATTCTAACTTTGTTTATAAAATTAATTTATAATTTTGACAAGTCATCTATTAATTTTTTATTATTTAAAAAGCCAACAATAAAATGAAAGAATTTTGAATGATGGAGATAAATTCATCTGTAATCCTGCCACGTGAATACCAGTCTCCTTGTTCTGGAGTCACGTCCCCACCGGCACAGCGCCCCCCACCGGCACAGCGCCCCCCACCGGCACAGCGCCCCCCACCGGCACAGCGCCCCCCACCGGCACAGGGCCCCCCACCGGCACAGCGCCCCCCACCGGCACAGCGCCCCCCACCGGCACAGGGCCCCCCCACCAGCACCCAGCCTATCGCGCACTGCCATCCCTGTGAACACATGGTGTTGTGTTCTGCTGTCCACTCCTATGACCTGTCTTTCTGTGCTGCCACATGCTAGTAGTCTAGCATTTTAATGACTACAAAATAGTCTACTAAGTGAACAGATTTCCACTATGGAAAGATAATGAACACCGAAGTCATACTGTCTAAAATCAGGAAGCCTTACTCTTTCATATCTACCAAAATTTGGCCCCCCAAACTCTATCCTTCCTAAAGAATTAGTCTGGTAATCTTCGTGACTTTGTTCCTTAAACCCAGAATTCAATATACTGGGTAAACACACTGGCCTAATTTTAGGTCTCGGTTGGTTAAGTGGGAAAGGAAACAGGTGAAAGGCCACGTTACCGCCAGTGCCGTCTCCATTGGTGAAGTCTCCTCCTTGAATCATGAAATCTTTGATGACGCGATGAAATGTGCTTCCTTTAAATCCATATCCTTTCTAAAGAGATTATGTCAATTGAATAGACAAGCAGATACAACCCACACTGCAAGTTAAACCCCAGTGTTTATCTGGAAATGACAAAATGAGAAAATTATACGAAATACCTACAGAACTTGATTAGGTCCCTGCAGCAATTTCCTGTTAGAAATTTATCATTAGCTGGCCAAATCAATAAACTAGTAAACAAACTATGGAAATAAAGTATTAACGGGAATAGTAAAAAGAGCAATCTGTGTTTTCCCCTGATGACTGTTCCCCCTCGGTTTCTGGAAGCCTAAGGACACTGAATGCCTGAAGAATACAGATTTTATACAAAAACAAAGTAAAATATTATCAGGTGTCTCAGGTTCACCTGACCTACTAATGTAACACTTTTCTTCCCCAGAAGGTATCCTGATCTTGGCTTAAAGAAGGAAGCTCCAGTCTGCGCACAAAGGAAACAAAGCGGGTAAAGATACCTCTCCTGTTGCCAAAGCGACGAAGTTTTCCACAGTCTTGGGCACAACTTTCCCAAAGAGGCCAATCACGATTCTGCCAACATCTTTGTCTCCAATCCTCACATCGAAGAAAACCTGCACGTGGTTGGAAGACAGAGTGGAAGGTTACACAGAAAAGCCACATAGGGGAGGTAAGTGAAAGTTAAAGTCTGTTAACACACAGAAGCGCTGCCCACCAGTATTTTACAAAGGGGTCATGAAGGAGCACGATACAAGTTAAAGGAACTCTAATTTCATTTTGTGGGTGCATCCACACACAAATATTCATTCAACAAACATTTATTGCACACCACCTATGGGCCCGACACTGTGGTGGGTACTGGGTTTAAAGTTTGACTCAGTACTGTCCAAGTCAGCCAGTAACGTCTCCAAGAATTCCATGGGCCCCCACATCCCAGGTGAGCACTGCTGCCACCTCCCATCTCCCAGTCTGTGAATAGTGGTTAGAGTGGAAACTGCTTCTTCTAAAAGGTAATGCTCTCTGATCTTGGCAGAAGAAAAAAAAAATTGGTGAGGAGATAAACAGGCCGGCCATTCACATTTATTTTTCTGTAACTTCAAAGAGTCCCAGATTCCCATGTATTCTCAGTAGGCTGTCAAGGGGACGGCAAAAGACGATCCAAATACACAGCAGTGCTCCAGAAGGCACCATGAGACCCCGGGCGCCAGCCTCGCCCAACGTACATCAAACTCGACGCTTGGGTCCTGACAAAAGCATCTGCCCTGTAAACTTAGAGACTGAATTCAGCAACCCCCATCATGTTACACAAGGGGAGTGTGCTCTTTTTCTGTCACAACATCTTAGAACGGAAGGAAAAAACACACCCAGAAGTGAGTGTGAGTCCCCCTTTTGTAGATAAACTTTAAAAGATCTCTTACTCATTTTTAAAACTTTTCATGTGAAATGACATGATATACATTTTGCCTCACAAATCACTGTGTGAAGATGATTCTGAGACAGAACGCTTGAAAAGGCCATGGAGTCGGAGGGCATTCTATTAGCGAGTTCAGATGAGATGAACCAGTTTAATGTTTGAATAGGTAAAAGAAAGACATTCAAGAGCTGGCTTAAAAAAACATAGGAAGGGTTGTCAGAGAAAAAAGATGTCTTAGAGTTTAGAAAAATCACAAAGTAAAGACTGTCAACCTTCAGTTTAAGACAAGAACTTCTGCCAATACATCAGTACATCTGTCACAGAATGATGTGATATTTAGTGTTCCTTGTTTTACAAGTTTTACATGGCCAAAGCAGCAGAAACTGCATTGTTATTTACACAATGGAACTATAGAGAACGCGTGGAAGCCCTTGAGGGGAGGCAGTGTTGAGGAGAGTGAGGCAACGTGGCTGCGTTAACACACCCACAGAGCTGGTGTCAAAGACAAGTCACTGCTCCAATTCTCCAATTAGAGAATCTACTCCAAGCGCAGGAGTAAATTCTCTAACAGGCAATAATGAAGCAGCACTGGGAAAAGAACCGGGGACATAATTTTAGAGAAACACCGTGTAAGATACTAGAAAAGCCTACCAGACTTCTAAAATAAAGAAGAGAAAATAAAGCCTGTGAGTGCTTAGAAGGCAAACAGAATAAAATCTGGGAAGTATAAGAAGAAAAAAAGAAGTCCCAGTCACCCAGCGTAACTCAATAAAACCTTACTTTCTTACACAGCCTAGCACCCATGTCCATACAGTTCCTCCCTCCGCCCACCCCCAAACTGCGGCGTCCTTTCACTTCATGAGTAACGCGTAGCAAGAACACGCGGCAGTTTTCCCAACTCTGACGGAAATGGTAAACTCTTACTTAGTCAACAAGTATTTATCAGAGATCAATGTGAAAAGCAATGTGACATTACAAGCTACACGAGAGAGTCCCTGTCCTAAGGTAGCTTAAATCAAGAGATGGGACCAGTAAAGGGGTAACCACAGTACAAAAGAGCAAGTGACAAGCACCCAGGACACTATTGCCAGGCCAGGGTGGGGGTAGAGGGGGGTGCGTGAGGCACAGTTGAAAAGGGCTGCAGGGAGGCATGTGTACATGGAAGGAAGCAGCCTCTAGGAACAAGAATGGGCCCAAGCCCCACCTGGCAGAGTTCTTTCTGGAACCAAGGCACCAGGGCAAGGCATATGGTCTGTGGTTGGAGAAGTAGCATAGCCCTTCTGCCCTCACCAGAGGGGAAGGGAGGCCTCAGCACTTCCAAAGACAGAAGAAGCTTTGGGGAAGGCAACAGAGAGAAGGTAAAGAACAGAACCCAAGGCGACTTGGGACTTCCTCAAGTGGGGGCAGGGGAGAATCCGAGGGCTCTCAGACCAGTCTGAGAATGCGGCACTAGGGCTCGTGCTGGGTGGCTGGTGGCTGAGGGAAGGTGAGGACACTGTAGTGGGGAGAGGCACGGAAACTGCAGGGGAGAAGACGGAGGAGGGGAGGGAGGAAGGAAACAAACGTGACCTGGTCAGGGTGTCGCAATGTGCTTTACCTACATATCTTCTATAATTAATCCTCACCACATCCTGCGGGGAGAGGCAGGCACTGTTCTCCCCAGTTTGCAAAGGAGAAAAGTGAGGATTAGGGGAGTTAAGTGATTTACCAAGATTCCCACCAGAAGTGTGAAAACCAAAATTTCAGTCTAAACATGCATCCAATGAGACAGCGATTTATCGTTAACAAGGCTCTCGCAATCTAGGCAAGGGATGCCAAGGGGCAGAAAAGGGGTTTTTAGATCCCTAGTGCCCAGCACACTATTAGCTCAAGTACAGACTCAAAAAAAAATGCTAAACAGCTCAGTGCCAGGTGATGCTAATGGAGAAGCAGGGAACACACACACACCCAGCCAGAGCGAGCGTTGGCCCCAGGTGGCTGCCAGGCAAACTTTATAGCTCAGGAAGGTGTAAAGTGTCCTGAGGTCTCTCTGACTAGCTATGTGGCCTCAGAAATGAGCCCTGTGCTCAACAAGGGGTGGGGTGTAAAGCCCCTACCCTCATGTAGCTTACAGTCCCTCAGAAAACACATATACCAGTAGCTGTGATGTAATGGGAAATTGGGTTTTAGGAGACGAGTACAGATAAAATAAGGCCAGGAGTGGGGACTGTCTGTGAAGATCAGGGCGGGCATCCTGGAGAAGTTGGTACTTAGATCCCACGTTGCACCTGAGGAGCTGGCACCTCAGTCACTTCTTTTTTTTCCTCCTCGAAGAAGCTGCCCTTGAAAGTGATACGGAAATTTGGGGGCACTGGGGGTGGGGAGAAATAGGGAAAGAGTGAAGAGACGCTCTCATAGCCTGGCCCAAACCCTTGTAGGGTTAATCCTGCTTCCATTTATAAAGTAAACTGTGAGGGCAAGGAAACCCAAGCTCCACCACCAGCTGGCTCTGAGCTCTTGTTCCTCATCTGCAAAGAAGATGATTCCGTTCAGCTCTGCACTGCTGCAGGGGGGATTAATAACACAAGTAAGTAACTCCAGCAACTGACCTCTAAAACCAGGAGCTTCAATCAGAACTAAGCACTCTGCCTGCTTTATCACATCTAATATGCAATACTCTAGCAAGTATTATTTCCATCTCCATTTCACAAAGGAGGAACCAGAGCCTCAGGCTTCAGACAGCCTGCCCAAGACCACCCAGCCTTAGTCTCACGGCCACTCCCTGCTGTAGAAAGTGCCAGCAGCTGTGACAGGAGTACAGCTGGAACGGTGGCAGCATCATACTCTACAATGTAGGTGCCTGACCACGCAGAACCCGTGGCTCTGCTGGAAAACACAGGGCTGCAGGTGCCAGTTCAGTGGGTTTTGAGGCCAAGGAGCCCGAGTGCCTGCCAGTCCCGAGCCTCTTTAGCTGGATAGGAGGCTGGGGCAGTGGCCGGGGATTTGTGGACCAGGTGAGTGCCCTTAAAAGGCCCTGCGGGGGGACAGCAACTCACATCTCATTTGTAGATTCTTATTTTTAGAAATCAGAAGAAAAGGCAAAAACTGCTAGGGAAAAGAAGATACCAGAACAGTGGCCAATTAATCTATTTTTCCACACTCAGAGAAATAATTTTTAGTGTCTCCATTTTCCAATAGATTTTGATGTTTAAAAAAGCTCATTGAAAAAAGTAATTAATGAAACAGAGCCCAATCTGAAGAAGACTTGCTTACATAATCACAGAGTAAAACACGTGGGAACGTCCTCAGTGACAGCACCTTCAACGAGGGGGCTAAGATCTTCCCCTCTTCCTCTCCTGCAGCCACAAGCTTCTTCCTCTCCTGGCTCCCTCTTCTAGAAGTTTCCAACCCAGGGTGCACCCCTCTGGTAAAGGTGATTGATTGACTTGCTCTGGGGTGGGTTTCCCATTGGTAGGTTTAAAACTTCCCAGGTGAAGCTTGTTCCCAAATACAACAGGTGACACCCTCATACTAAGAAATTCTCCACTGTTTGTCTGAAATCCACATCTCACTGGGCCTCCTGTACTTTATCTGGCAATCCTAACCCCTTTCCCTCACTCCCTTTCTACACTGTCAGCAAGTCTTCTTCTGCCTCCAAAATCTATTCCAAGTCCCTCCCTTGCTCCCCATTTCCACGATTAACCCTCTAATGCAAGCCACCACCATGTGGACTCTGGCATGGAACCCAGAGTGACCTCCCAGTTCACTCTCCACTGAGCAGCTGTAGTTAATTGTGTAAAAGCATATATGAGATCCTGTCAAACCCATGCTTAAAACCCTCCATCCAGCAGCTCTAACTGCACTTAGCATAAGACTGCAAATTCTAAGAGTAATTGCTTCAAAGCCCACACTCCTAACTGTGACCTCTGAGGCCCTGCATGATCTTGCTGCTTGCTCAGCCCCTGACCGCATCTCAAGCCACCCCATCGTCGCATCCCTGTGGTGAAGCTACAGTGTCCCAGGCAGGCCGTCCCCTTACCAGGGCAGGATGGCTTTCCTTCTCCAGGTCCTTGCACATGCACTCAAGTTCGCCTCCCTAACTTTTTGCCAGGCTGGTTTTTCTTACCCTTCAGGTATTTTTAAATGCCACCCAGTCTATGTGAGACTGAATTTCCTTCATCACTTCCTAATTTCATGAACTTTATGTTTATGGCTGTATCCCGAGAGACTCAAATATAGTTTCAGATTGAGGGAAGCCCCCCACCCGTCCTTCAGCTCTGCGCCTGCACGCACCATTTCCCAAAACTAGGTAAGCCCAAAAGCTCAAGGGGCTGGGAGTGGAATCCGTGCTCAAAACCATCTCCTAACTTTATCTCACACAGGCCGCCTCCCGTGGCTCTTTGGTTCACTCCTGCTCCAGTCAGATGTTGGGCAGAACTTACCCCTCCTAACCCCTAAATCTGCCCCACGCCTCCCCTCTCCTCAGGGCGGGTGTGGGGCAGATTTAAGCCCTGCTAGTTCCACAGTCCCATTTCCACTGTCCAACACAGGACTGCTGTTCAGGTAACTTGCAGCTGCCCCTCCTTCCAGATTCCAAGACACTATTGCCAGTAAGTTTTTCTAGCAGCGATAATGAACAACCAAATCATCCCCTCCCTGTCTGTCCCTGCACCCTACCATTATCTCCTAACCTTGGGTAAACATGCTGGGAGAAGAACTGAGGCCAGAAAGGCAGCCCATGGCAAATTTTATGTCCCTCTAATGGAGACAAAAAAGCTGGCCTCAGGTACACAGGTGCCGCCTGGGCCTGCGGCCAGCACCATCCCATCCCAAGCCCAGGCCTGTGCACCAGTCACTGAAATCTAAAAGCGAACCTCTCCCTCCCGGGGAGGACCAGGTTCCTAAACAGGGGAGGACAGCCTCTCCTGGAGCACAGCCTCTGCTGGAGCACAGCTTCTAACGGCCTGCCAGGACACCACCTGGGCAGGGGCTGGACCTGGGCTCTTCCACGCTATCTGACTTCCCAGCTGCAACCCCTGGGCTCAGAGCGTGTCTCCTCCTCGCATCCCTGTCCCTCCCACACTCCTCCGGCTTCTGTTCTCCAGTCCCCGCCAGGCTAAAGGAAGTACTCAGGCTGTCTCCTTCCTGGAGAAAGGGCCCACCGGTTCCAGAAGCTTCTTCTAACCCCTGGGCTGGTCACCTTGGACCGTAGACCAAGGGGATAAAATTCAAGCAGCCGGGGATGCTGGAGACGGGCTGGGACTCCGGCCAGCACCCTCCAAGTCACCTCGGAGAGTGCCCCTGACCCTCATGGCCCAAGCAATCCCCTGTCAGCAGCCCTGCCCGCTGCCTCCTATCCTCTGCCCCCTCCTCGATACCCGACAAATGTCCCTGTCCCCAAAAGTTCCCCCATCCTTCAGGCCGACGGGAGAGGAAGTTGCAGTCTGCCACTCTGTCACCTTGGCCGTCACCGAGGGGCCTCTCTTGCGGAGGCCCGGGGACCCCGTAGAAAGCACGAGTACGCCAAGCCCCAGGCAAAGCACCAAAGGTAGCAGCAGTCGGGAACCTGAAACCATGGCGAACGGGCGGCAGTGCGGGTACAGGCTGCAGGGGCTCGGGTTCTTCAGCGGGTTCCCAGACCAGCGGCGGGACTCCTAGCCAGCTGCGCCTGCGCGCTCCCGGTTCAGGGGGGTTGGGAAGGGTTTGGGATGGGGCGGTCCTGGCAGGGCCGGAACCCTGGGGCGCCCCTCCCAAGTTTGACTCGGTGTTGAAGTAGGGACTCGCAGACGCTCGCAGCAGCGGAGGGTGCAGCACGGGCCGCGCCTGCCGCGGGAGCCCGCAAGGCCGGCAGCGAGCCCGGGCTGTTGAGGCACTGCGCCCCGGGGAGGCAGGCTTGGCCAGAGCTCGGGAGCTAAGGGGTTCGCTCAGGCACCTCCAGGAACCCACCGCACGTTAAATCCAACAGCAAGTCGAGGACTCTCCTGCCTCCCAGTCCCTGGCAATTTGCGCACTGCTTGGGGGAGGAGCCGGGGCGGGACCTGGTTGAGCGACTCTGCAGACACTTGCCCCCGCCGGTGACCTCAGCTGCCTTTGGAATATCCTCTGCAGCGGCTGCCAGGTTTCAATGTTGCTTCAGAGCCTTTAGCTAAGTTTTGGACGGCTCTCAGAACTTTGGGACCCCTAGGTGGGCTGACTCAGTTATACGTGATGAATAACCTCTCGCTGAGATGATTCTCTTTGGGTATATAATTTTTACAAATTTAAGAATAATGTTTAGGTAGATTATGTAATGACATGGGTAAGTGCCCACTATATTTTTAAATGGAAAACTAGGGTGGCAGAATCTCAGAAATTGTGATCTCAAACTGTGAAAATAAAGGAATTTTTTTCAAATGGAAAGAAATGCACCAAAACATTTACAGTAGTTATGGTGATAGAATTATAGATTTTTGTTTTCTTTGTAATCTTCTGATTTCAGATATTTCACATTGACATGTAAGTATTTTATAATCAGTAAAATGTTGTTTTAAAACTTAATGGGTGTTGAAATAGTACTTCAAAAGAACTATTTTTATTTTAGAGTAACAGCTCCAAAATTAACTACAAATTAATGATCGTATTCTCCTGGTTTTCTTAGGACCTGGTGTCATGACTTTCAAGCCAGGATTTTCCTCAGGGAAGCAGGGTTTCTATGTGTAACTAAGAGTAGATCTAAAATTACACTGGAACTGTTACATGCAACAGGAGTGACCTCAACTTTTAGGAGTGGACAGAACACTTTTGAGTTATTTTGATAATTCAGTTCAATGAAGGATCTAATGTCTGTCTTCATCACCCCCAACCCCAGTAAAGAAAGAATCCCCGTTTTGTCTCAGGCGAAGGGTATCGGAGCACTTATCCCACTGAATGTCTGTGTGCATTTACCTGTTTTCATCATTGTAATTATTTTTGCACACCTTCTATCAGAGTGCAAATGCCACAGGGCAGGGAGCACACCTGTTGTTTTTTTTTTTCCTTTTGATGACCCAGGTCTAGTAAAATGCCTAATATGTAGTGATTTCTACATGAATTTTGTTGAATGAGTACAAGTATCTAATTTAATTTTTATGGGGAAGATTGGTAAAAATAAAAGTGCACAAAATGTAACTGTATGTATCAGTGAATTACCACAAACCCAACTTAGAATCCCCTTTAAGAAATGAAATATTTGTCAGCTCTTTAGAAACTTTTTTGTGCCCCTCCCAATTACTAACACTTCTCCCCAAATTAACCACAATCATGACTTCTTACGTTATGGTTTAGTTTTAACTTTATATGAATGGAATATTATAGTATGCTGTATTCTTTTGCTCGAACTTATGTTTATGAAATTCAAGTGGGCTTTCTTTTTGCGTGTAACTCTTTTGGCGCATCCATTTTTTTTTTCTATATGAAAATCCAGTTGTCCCAGCAAACCTTCTTTCCTCGCTGCTCTGTTATGCTGCTGCCTTTGTGGAACAAGTGTCCATACATGTGTGGGTCCGTGGGCCCTTTATTCTGTAACACTGATGTATTTGTCTGTCTTTGTGCCAGCGCCTCCTTGTCTTAATGAAAATAGCTTTATAAAAGCTATTTCTCACTTTGTTTAATAGATTCTTGGCTGTTCTTGACCTTCTGTATAAACTTGAGAATCAGCTTCTCAGTTTCCATAAACTGGGATTTTCATTGGGATTGCATTGTGTCTATAGATTATTTTGGAAAAATAGTGTACTTCTGATACTGAGTCTTTCATTCATGAGCATGGCATATCCCTCCACTGATTTACATCTTCTTTAGTTTCTCTCAAAATTTTATAGTTGTCTGCCTAGAGGCATTACACATATTTTGTTAGATTGATTTTGAGATATTTGGTTTTTATAAATTACATCTTTTTAAATGTTTATTTTACTGTTTATTGCTATTATGTTATAGTAAAATTAATTTTATATATTAATCTTAAATAGATAAACTTTGTTAAAAATGTATTCAAATGATTTACCTGTTAATTATTTAGGATTTTGTTCATAGACAACTATATTATCCATGAATAATGAGTTTTATTTCTTCCTTTCTAATCTATAAATCTTAACTTCTTTTCTTCTATAAATCTTACTTCTTTTTCTTGCCTTATTACATTGGTAAGGATCTATAATACAAAAGGAAGTCATAATAATGGTAGTCCTTGTTTTGTGGGTTAAATTTTGGCTCCCAAAAAGATATGTTGAAGTCCCAAAGCTCAGTATCTGTGAATTTGGCCCTATTTGGAAATAGGATCTTTGCAGACACAGTCCAATTGAGATGAGGTCATGCTAGAGTAGGGTATGCCCTATTCCAATATAACTGGTATCCTTTAAAAAAAAAAAAAAAGAATAGACAAAGACACAGTGAGGAAAACACCATGTGAAAACAGAGCCAGAGATTAGAGTGATGTGTCTTTAAATCAAGGATGTCAAGGATTGCTGGCAACCACCAGGAGCTAGGAAGAGGCAGGGAAGGATCCTAGCACAAAGCCTTCAGAGACAACATAGGCCTGCTACCTCCAAAACTGAGATAATAAATTTCAGTTGTTTTAAGCAACCCAGTTAATGGTATTTTGTTACGGCAGCCCTAGGACACTAATGAACTTGGGTTGGTTCCAATCCCACAGGAAAAGCTTTCAGTGTTTTACCACTAACTCTGATATTTGCTGCAGGTTCTTTTGGGAGGTGACATCCTTTTTCAGCCTAAGAAAATTCCTGCATAGTCCTAGTTTGGTAAGAGTTTTTATCACTTAATTTGCTCTGTACTATTTATTGAAATCAACTGAAATAATCAGATGATGTTTTCTTATTCTGTTAAAGTGGTAAGTTGCATTGATTTTCAAATTTTAACCCAATTTTGCATTCTGGAATGCATACATATATTGACCGTGTAATATATTACTGTGTGTGGTGAGCTTTTTTTTTTTTTAACCAATTTACCAGTAAACAGGAAAAAAATGCATTTCTCCTGGAGTTCAGGAAAAAAACAAATGCTAGGAGAAGTTTGGTTCTGGCCTTCTAGTTCAGACCAAGCTAATTACCAAAATCTTACTTTGATATTAGTGGGTAAGCTTATGAATCTTATATTTTAGATATTTGCATCTATATTCATAAGTCGGAGCAATCAGAAGTTTTCCATTCTTGGAATTTCCTGTCACTTTATATCAGGGTCATTCTGGCCCTTCAACACGAGTGGGCTGATGATTCTGTCCCTGTGCTTTAAAAGGATGTGCATAGGTTACCAACAGTTCTTGTATGCTTTTTAGAGGCCACCTGGGTCTGGGCTAAGTGTTCTTTACTGTGAAGTTGTCAATTATAAATTTAATTTTTAAAGAGTAGAAGGAGTATTAAAATTTTCTATTCTGTTGATTTTTATGTATAGTATTTTTGAGGAATTTATCTGATTCATTTATATTTTAAAGTTTAGTTACTTAATATATATCCTTTATAATTTTACAGGTCTACAGGACCCATAGTAAAAGTCTTCTTTTTTATATTTGACATTGGTTAGCTTTTCTTTTTCCTTGTATAGCTTCACCCAGTAAGCAGTGAAGATAATATATTTGATTTGATTTGATTAGTTTATGTTTTTAATTTTGTTATTTTCTTCTACTTTCTTCAGGTTTAACCGTTCTTTTTCTATCTACTTGAAATAGACTCTTAATTCAGCATTTTCAGCCTTTCCCCTTTCAATTGCTCAATTAGAATAATAAAATTCCCCTTTATAAGCACAACTTTCAATGCTCCCCAACCATTTTGATCTGTAGTATTTTTACTGTCATTCTGCTAAAAATATTTTATAATTTATAGTTTATTTCTTCTTAAATCCATGTTTAAGTACTACACTTATTTAGAAGTGTAGTACTTTATTTCCAAAGCATGACTTTTTAAATTTTTAAAATTTATCCTGTTAGAGTTGTCCCAATTTTTCCCCTTTTGCCCCCCTCCCCTCAGCTCCTCTTTCCCACAGTCAGTCCCCACACCGCTGTTCATGTCCATGGGTGATGCATATAGGAGAGGTGTGACCTGGAAAGAGTCTAGCCATTGTTAAGAGAACAGTCTGTGCAACATTAATCTAGCCCAGCAGCAAAGGAGAGTGGACTGGAATACGCAGGTGTGAACAATGATGACTTCACTTACTTGTCACTGGGGGCTGGCAGATGCCATTGAGTGAGCATGTGTAATGTGTGGCTGTGGTATTCAAAATGACTGAGCAAATAGAGCAACAAATCTGGATCAGAATTTGCATTAAGCAGGAACATTCCTCTGTGAAAACTATTGGGATGATTTAGAAGGCCACAGCTATGAGCAACTGGTAATTGTCAGCTTCATCACAACAATGTGAGTGCTTGCACATCATGTCTCATGTAGAGATTTTTGGTGAAAAATCAGTCAGGTGGCTCAGCCCCCCTACAGCTCAGATTTGGCGACCTGCAACTTCTGGCTTTTTTCAAAACTGAAATCACCTTTCAAAGGGAAGAGATTTTCAGACCATCGGTGAGATTCAGGAAAATACAACAGGGAAGCTGATGATGAATGGGAGAACTGCATGAGGTGCTCAGGTGCCTACTTTGAAGGGGACTAAGGCGTCATTGTCCTGTGTACAATGTTTCTTGTATCTTCTTCTATTAATGTTTCTAATTTTCATATTGCATGGCTGGATACCTTCTTCACAGACTTCGTATATTCTTTGTCTAATCCATTCACCTTCTTTCAACCAATTTCCACCTCCTCCCTCCTTTCTTAGAACTATCGGTCTATTCCTTGTTTCTGTGCCTCTGACTCAATTTTGCTTGTTAGTTTACTTTGTTTCTTAGAGTGCTGTTTCGAGTGAGATCATATGGTATTTGTCTTTCACAGACTGGCTTATTTCCCTTAGCATAATAGTCTCCAGTTCCACCCATACTCTT